GCTCATGGGAGGAGGAGGCGGCCCAAAGGTGAGCGGCCCCGGCGCGCGGGTTGCCGGCCCTAAACCCAGCTCGAAGGGATGCCACGACCGGACAGGGAAGCCCTTCCCCCGCCTCTTGCAGCTACCAGCGGCCCGGGGCCTGGCCCACGCCCTGCCACCGCTTCCCCGCCTTTCTCCTTGTGATTGCTGCTTATCTTGGTGGGGGGAGGGGTATGGATTAAGGACCCAGAGGGACCATTTGAGATCCAGAGGGTATCTGTCGGGGCCACTGCGCTAGCCTGCGACACCGCCGCCCCCCTTCCCCCTCCCACACACACTCAGCACCCCCCCGTTGGGGCGCAGAATTGGAGAAGGTCGTCCCTAATGCGGGCTTGTGGGGGTGCAGAGGCTGTTGCTACCGGAGCTGAGGGCCTTTGGCCTGTGGAAGGCTCAGGAAAGGACTCATGGGGCGGGCGGTGGTGGGGGGGGGCGCTGCAGATCCACCTCTCCTGTGTACCCAGGCCGCCGCTGGCACCCCCACCTCCGGGTGCTCAGCTGGCCACTGCGGAATAAAGACAGTCGCCAGGCTGCTGCGGAGGCAGCCCGGGTGCTGTGGGAGGGGCTGGCACTGCCAGGCTGAGTGTAGCCGGCCTCCCTCTGCCTGTCTGCCCACCTCGGGTGGTACACAGCAGTCTGGCCTGGAGGGGAGGGGGCATCATTGGGCCCAGCCATAGCAGGTTATCACGTCCTGGGAGAATGTGCCTCTGGCTGCAGCAGTGGAGGGAGAGTGGGAAGGGGGCTGGAGGAGCAGTGGCAGGTTCTGGTGTGGCATCTGCAGTGCTCCTGTTGTGCAGCGTGGGGTGCCATGGGGGTGCTGCGGGCCAGGAGAGCAGTGCTCTCTCTGCTCTGGGCCCCAGACCTTGCCCCCAGGGCAGCCCTGGGCTGTGAGCAGCATCAGCGCCCCTCCCTGCTCAGAGGACAGATGTCCCCTGCCCACTCCGATGGCTAATGAGTGCTGGCCGAGGATGGGCTGTATCCTGGATCCTGTCGTCAGCAGGGCTGGGAGAGTTGCTGGGCAGATTCTCACCTCTGCTGCCCTCAGCCAGGAGGAAGGCTCCTGGCCCCAGCAGTTGCCTTTGGGAGCAGTGAGTCCCACGGTCGGAGATGCAGGAAGATGCTCAGAGCCATCCTGTGCTCCAGGGCCCTTCCCAGCACCACGTCTCCTCTCAGGCTGAGGCTGACCTGGGTCCCAGAAGTTTCTCCTGGACAGAGGGCTCCAGGGGCCATGGCTGTGGCCAGGGGAGGCCAGAGGGAGTCCTGGTTATGTTTCCAAGACGTGACGCTCAGAGGGAAAGGCGAGGAGGGGGCCGAACCCACAGCAAAGAGCCGTGATCAGACTGACCGGGGGTGCAGGAGCTGAGGCACTCCTCTGGGACAGCGCTGCCTGGGCAAGAATGGGGAGATGCTCTGGGCTGGTCCAGGTGAAACCTGGAGGGTGGTGACCAGCAGCAGCCTGGGCAGGCCTGGTGTGCAACCCGGGGACAAGCTCTGCAGATCAGCGAGGCTAGAAGAAGCCAGGCAGGAGCAGAGGAAGCCCAGATATTGCAGGGTCGTCCCCCACCTGCCTTTCTGAGGCCCCACATGCCAAGCCCTCCCACCCCAGGCTCACCCCAGACCCCTGGACACCAAGGGGGCAGAGCCTCCACTCCACTATCTCCTGAGTCCATAGCCTCCCTGGGCTGGGCAGGGCAGTGAAGCCTGCTTGGGTCCTGTCCTAGCCATCCCTGGGTGCCAAGAGGGGAGCAAGGGTGTGAGCATTTGGAGTCCCTGGTGAGCATCGGTGGGGTGATGTGGGCTAACCTGCTGGGAGCGCAGGAGTCCTGCCTCTGGGGGGCTTTCGGTGTGGCTTCTCCGCCCCTGGGTCATAGCTAGCTGGACATCTCAGGTCCTTCCACGCTGGCTTCCCTGAGCGTCTGCCTACTTGTGCCAGGCACCACTCCTCTGAGGAAGAGCCACAGTCCCACCCTCACAGTCTTGATGCCTAGCCACCTTTGCAGGTAGTGAGCTCCTGTCACTAGATGCCGAGCAGAAGGCACAGTGGCGAGGGTGCTGTCAGCTGGGTTTCTTGGTCATGCATGCACTCAGGGACATGCGTGTGCTGCACGGAGGCCCTGGGAGCAATGGTGTAAAGTCGTGAGGCTGGCACTGGGGTTTGGGTGTCCTGGGACCTGAAGGGATTGGGTGTGACATGCAGAGAGTGAGGACACCTGTATCCAGTGACCACATGTGTGTGCACACACATTTGCGTTTGAGTAACTATACATGGCGGGGTGGGGTGAGGTGCATTGGGGGAAAGGGGTGAGCATGGCTCTGTGTGTGGTCAGTGTGCAAAGGGGCATGTCCTAGCAGGCATAGCGGTGTGCACCTGGCACAAGAGCCAGGCTGCACCCAGCCAGGACAGGGAGGGGTCTCCTGACTCTGGACTGGGAGCAGCCTTTGGTGGGGGGTGTGGGCTGTGCCTCTCTCCCTCCCACACCCAGGCTCCGAATAGGAGGTGGTCAGCTCTCCCCTCAGTTCCCAGGAATGGGGTCTGGGCTGAGGCTGGGGCGGGTCCTTGAAAGCAGGGAGGTCCAAGACCCTACAATAGCTGTTTCCTCTGTGCCCACCTAGCCTCCTCTAGCCTCATGGGACTGCTCGAGGATATCCTGAGCCTTCCCACCCGATCCCCACTCTTTTGCCCAGTGCTCAGACCCATCCCCACATCCCAAGAGGGAGAGGGAAGCTGTAGGTCCACGGAGGCCTGTGGGTGAGGATGCACTCCCGGGAGGCCAGCCCCCGGCAAGGGGTCTCCTGCAGGAGCGGGGAGCCAGTGCAGGGTGGAGAGGGAAGGGGCCTCATGGGCCCTGGCTGGTGGTGGTCCTGGGCCCCAGGTCCTGGGCACCTGCAAGGCTGGGGAGGGGGAGCAAATGAGGAGGGGGACCTGCTGCCCTACAGAGCCAGCCTGCTCAGTGGCTGCTGAGGCAGGAGGAGCGGTTGCCTGGCACCTCTGCTGTTGCCATGGTGACAACGGAGGTGCTAACTGACTAATGAGTCCCTCTTGGCTGCAAATAACAATACTGTAGTGGTTAATAGGGCCTCACTGGCAGATCCTTGGGAGGCAGGAGGGGACCAGGTAGGGCCTGGGGCCTGGCTGCCCACCCCCCTGCAGCCCCGGCTGGCATCACCCCTCCCCTCTCTGGTCTCTGCCTCACCCCCTCCCTGTCTTCCTCCAGCCTGGATTCACACCCTGCTGGTTTGAGGGGCAGTTAAAGACCAGAGGGCAGTATAGTGCTGTCCACTCTCCCAGCCCCTCCCTCCTCCCTGTGCTGGAGTTCAATTTGGCTCTTGTAGTTTTCAGTGGGAGGTGACTGCCCCACGCACCTGATGAGGACATTGAGGCAAGTGCCAGGTGCAGGACCCCCTGACCCACAGTGCCCCCACCCCCAACTGTGTCCCTCTCAGGGTCCTGGGCCTCTGGCTGGGCTCTTGGTTCCACGTCCCAGGGCAGGAGGCTCTGCTGGGCCTGCAGGAGAGGGTGTGGGAGGCCTGGTGGCTGTGGCCATCTCAGCCGTGAAGAGGTGCAGATTAGAACTCAGAAGCTTTCCAAACTGCTCGTGAAGGAATCAAATAGCCAACCCCACCCCACCCCACCCCCATACACACACACACACAAGCTGGTCGGGGATGTGGTGGAGGGAAGAACTGATGGAATAAGGCCTGGGGTTCTGTCCAGTCTCCTTGGCGTGACCGTGGGCTGGTCTCATCCCTTTCCTGAGCCTCAGTTTCCCATCTTAAAGCAAAGGCAGGACCTGGCAGGTGGGGTGGGGTGGCAGAGGCTTGGCACTGAGCCCCCAGGAGGGGGCTTCCACACAGGGTTCTGCCATCTCCTTAACCTCCTCCTCCCTCTGTTCAGCCCAAGGGTCTTTGAGACACGCTGAGGATCCCAGATATGGATCACCCATGTTGACCTTGATCCTTGGGTTACCCCCACCCCACCCCATCCTGGGATCTGCCAGCCCTTAGAAGGTACTCCCAGACCCTAGGCCCCCACTGTGCTGGAGCACCCGCTGTCACCACCCCCTTTTTGTGAGCGTGAGACACACCCTGCGGAGAAGGATACTGGCTGCAGACGCTGGGTGGCGAGCTCTAGGCCTGGGCTGCAGACCTGGGATGGTTGTGGCAGCAGAGGAGCCCCCAGGAGCCCAGCAGCCTGCAGAGGCAGCTCTGACACCATCCCCCATCACCTGTCTAGATTATCAGCTTATGGAGCGATTGGGTCATTCAGATCAGAGAGGAAGGGTGTGCTGCCTGGGGGGAGGGGACTTGGCAGAGAGGGGCCCTGGGGATTGGGAAGATATGGGGACCGGAGAGGGGAGGGGAGGTAACAGAAACCCCAGAGGTGTGCCAGCCGTGTGGCAGGGTCCAACGCACTGTCAGAGCTAGCAGAGGGGTGCCAATCCCTTCCCCCCCTTCCCAGAGGAAGGCTGTGGGTGCATGGCAGGCTCTGGCGTCCTGGGTGCTGGGGTCACACACTGGCCCTTCCGAGGCTGCTGCTGACTGGCCACCTCTCCCTGCAGGTCTGGTACCATGCCCGGTCACTCCGAACCCTAGGCCACACCTGGGCCATCAGAGCAGCCCTTGCTCACTTCAGGGGGCACCCCCTCCCCACTGCCCACTGCCCACCATGGCCGGGGACCGGCTCCCCAGGAAGGTGATGGATGCTAGGAAGCTGGCCAGCCTGCTGCGGGGCGGGCCTGGAGGGCCGCTGGTCATCGACAGCCGCTCCTTCGTGGAGTACAACCGCTGGCACGTGCTCAGCTCCGTCAACATCTGCTGCTCCAAGCTGGTGAAGCGGCGGCTGCAGCAGGGCAAGGTGACCATCGCGGAGCTCATCCAGCCGGCCGTGCGCAGCCAGGTACCAGCGCGGCCAGTCCTGCTGCCTGCCTCCCCCCCACTCCCCGGCTCCCGTCACCGCCAGGTGCAAGGCTGGGCTCCTCAGCCAGGTGTGCAGGACCATGTCTGGGGCAGCCGCCCCCACCCTGCCCTTGAACCCAAACCGACTCCTCAAGGTCAAAATGCTCAGAGCCACCCTCTCCCGGGCTGTTGTGGACAGCTCCCCTCCTCCTGCAGCTTCCGTCCCCAGGGCGGCTCTCACTGACCCCATCACCCCTGTCCCTGTCTGGATCCTCACTGAGCCTCGCATGGAGGTTTTCACACACACCAGACAAGGCCATGTCCCAGGGGCCCAGCATGGGCCCAGAGAGGGGTGCTGAGTGGATGAGTGAGATGTGACCGGGCACTGGGTGCACTGGGGCCCAGGCCGAAGGGGGCAGTGGACCAGGATGGCAGCTGGGTCAGGTCCATACTCGGGTGGCTTCGAGGACTCAGAGGAGGATGGGGCATGGCCAAGGGGTTTTTTCTCTCGAGTCCTGAGTGACCCAGAATTCTCTCTGTGGCTCCCAAGAATGTTGGGTCACCTGCAATGGACAGTCCTGTCTCTGCTCCCAGTAGCATCAAGTCCAGCTGGGGAGGGACAAACTTGGGCCAGTGGCCTGGGAAAGCAGTGGCACTTCTCATGGGGGTGAGAGTGACAAGCCCAGCAGTCTTGGAAGCTGTGGGGAGCTCTAGGTCACAGGCCCTGCCCCTTGCAGAGCCTGTTGTGAGAGGACCCAGGTGAGAGCCCCCACCCCACAGGCTGACCCAGACAGGCTCCCTGCAGCCTCAATGAGGGGAATCCGGCCATTAATCACCCCGGTGAGGACTCCCTGCCAGAGTGCAATCCCGTTGGCTGCCAGTGACATCATCGGGCTGGGCTGGCAGCTCTGCTGGCTTAAGGGCTGAGCGCTGGGTGGTGGGGGTATCAGCCTCTCTCTAAGCAAAAGCTGCTGAACATCTGGCCCCCAGGCTGGGCACTGGGAGGGGGAGGAGGGCAGGTGGAGCCCAGCCTCCAGCTGCTGCCTCCAGAATTGGGGGGCTTTTGCTGCAGCTCTGTCTCCCCTTAGCTGGCTGGGGGTGCAGGGAGAGGAGAGCCAGACCCAAAGGTGCCCTGCCTTCAGAGCCCCAAAATGTGCCTCCCGGGGACTCTGAGGATGGTTTCCCTCATGTTGGCCAATGCAAGAGCCAGCCCAGGCCCTGGCTGTGCCATCCTGCAACTGTGAGCCCTGCATGTGTGTGCCTGCTGGGGACATGTCACAGCCACCCGTTGTCTCTTCCCCGTGGTCTGGCCCACAGCGGACACCCATAGTGCTCGTTCCCTTCACTCTTGGACGCGGTCGCGTGGGGACCAGCGTCCCTGCCTCTCCTGCTCTGAGGGCCTGCCTGTGTGGCCATGGGTGTTTACACCTGTTCAGGTAGAAGGTGGGTGGTTGGGTGCCTGCCCTCCCCTCAGGCAGCAAGGTGGCAGCAGACCCTCCCTCCTATCACCTGAGCCCCTCCCTGTTGGTTCCTTGACCTCTCCCCTCTGCTCATGGCCCCAGGCAGAGGCTGAGGAGCCACAGGACGTGGTTGTCTATGACCAGAGCACCCTGGATGCCAGCGTGCTGGCTGCAGACAGCTTCCTCTCCATCCTGCTCAGCAAGCTGGACGGCTGCTTCGACAGCGTGGCCATCCTCACAGGTGAGCGCCCAGGGCTGGCGGGATGCGGGACACCCTCCCTCGGCCTCTCTCCCTTGTCCGCTTGGCTGAGGGGTGCGAGGGGGGTAAGGGCATCCAGGAGTTGGAGTTCCAGATGGATCCACCCTTATTCTTCTCTCTAAGCCCAGAGATCAGCGTCGGCTGGGGCAGTGGTTCTGTAGTTCTTGGGGCCCCACTGTCCCCTCCCCTGGGCCCCCACACTTTGGGGCCCCCTCCACTAGCAGGTGAAGAGGTGAACAGAAGGAAACCTGCAAATACCTTTTGTGGTGGGAGTGGGGAGAAATCTAGGCAAAGATGTGGGTGGCTCGGCTGGCAGCTCCCCAGTAACTGTCCCAAGGAGGGGTCACAGGCTTCAGCCTCTGGAAACCCGTCTGAACAGAACTGGTCCCCCATCAAGAGGGCCCCTGAGACTCCAGCCCAGCAGGATGCCTGGCAACAGCCCCTGGAGCATGGCCTCTGCCTGGTGGTCCTCAGAGGTCCCCACGGTTTCCTGTTTCCCAAAGTAGCCAGGCCAGTCTGGAGGCTGGGTAGCCCCTACACACACACACACACACACACACACACACAAAACACACCCCACAGTGGTTCCGCTGGCTCCTTCCTCCGGAGGCACCTCTGTAGAATCTACTCCCAGGACCCTGGGGTGGGTGGGGCTGGCCTGTCCCAGGAATGTGCACCTTCCCTGCCCAGGACCAGGCTTTTGTGGGTGCTCCTGCCCCTGCTCTGTGTGTGCCAGGGGCTCTGACAGGCAGGTGGAATGGGAGGTGTGGAGAGGTCAGATGTCTGGGCTTTGTACAGGTGTCCTGGGCAGCCAGGAATTCTCCGAGGGCCCAGCCAGGAGCTGGCAGTGTGTGCACACGCGCCCTAGCATGAGTGGGAAGAGGGTCCCAGAGCAGCTTTGGGGACGTGGGGAGGTGGCCAGAGCCTCTAGTGGTTTGTCTCCCGCCAGGGGACCGGGCCCCTCACCCCGCACTTGGCAGGGCAGGCCTGAGCGAGAACGCACCAGGAGGGCTCACCGGGACCTGGCTGTGCCCCCTGGTCCTCTCTTCCCGCTCTCGCTGCCCAACCCTGCAAGGTTAGAGTATTTGCCCCATTTCTCTGAGAGCCAAGCCATGATTTCTCTGAGGGTCAAGAAATCATGACCCTTGTGGTAGAAGGAGGACTCATCGGGACCCCAAATCAGGACCCAGACATGGGGACAGCCTTCTGGCCTTGCCCACAGCTCCCACCCGGAAGTGAGCAGTCCCTTGGGCAGTGAGAATAGGAAGGACAGGCTGAGGCGGGGAGAGGGGAACCCAGCACAGGGGTAGGTTGGCAGAGGCTGGAACTGGCAGACTGACCCCTGGGCCAAGGATGAAGGGCGCTAAGGAGCACTGGGACAGGAGGACAGCACTGCTGTAGGGAGCCCTCCGTCCCCCATTCCTCCCCTGCCCCCCCTCCACCTCCACCACCATAGGGAGGTTGTCAAGAGCCCGAGAGGGTCATGAGGTTAGGCTCATTGGGGTGCGAGAATCAGCTGCTGGGACCCCAGTTCCCTGTCCCCCACCCCACTGGGCTGTGACGTAAGCGGGGAGGTGGAGGGAGGGGGGACCCTGGCCCAGCACCAGTGGCCACTGTGCACGTTGCTGCGGAATGTGGGCTGGGGGATGCCACTGCCCGATGGGTGCGCCCCTACGCCCTGCTGCACACGTGGCACGCTCGGACGCTGGCTGGAGACCCGGCGGAGCAGCCCGGGTGTGAAGGGTGGGTGGGGTCCCCCGGGAGGGCAATGGGGGGCGGCCTGGTGCTGGAGCGCTTGCGGCAGAGGCAGGGGGTGGGGCGGCGTCTAGGCTCGCGTTTGTGCGAGTCCAGGATTGCATTGTGAGGGCAGACTGCCCCTTCGGGATGCCCAGGGGATAGGTAGGGGCGCCTGCCCAAGTCTGGGAGTGCGGGGACCTGCAGAAGATCTGAGTCAGCTGCCACTGCTTCCCTCCCCAGAGCCTGGGTGGCTCTGACCTGGCATCTAGGGGGTTCAGAGGGAGCTTCCCAAGCCAGTTGGCTCGAGCCAGGTGTGTCATGGGGGCCTTACCTGAGGAATTGCAGCAAAGACTAGCAGGCTGTGAGCCATGCAGACTTTCCTTGGGGAGGATGCTCCTGGTACCACCCCCACCCCCACCCCCGCCTTGGACCAGGGGTCCCTAGCTCTGGGTGGTGAGCAGGAGCCAACCCCCAGGACCCAGCTTGGCCTCCTCTCCAGGAGGGACCTCCAAGGCTAGCACTTCCCACTTCCTAGCCTGGAGGCCCCCCATCCCCACGTCCCCCAAAGTCATGCCCCTTCATCGGGGGCACGGGGGCACTCTGGTTGGGGATTGCACAGACTGGACTCTGAGCAGCTGGGCCAGGGTGAAGGCTGAGGCCCCCAGGTGTCTGTCCTTGGGAATCAGCCAGATCTTCTGCAGACCAGGGCAGGAGACCACACCTCACTCTGCTGCCTCCTCCAGCTGGAGAGGGTAGGCCTCAGCCCCATTGTCTCATTGGATGGACTGGTCCACTGAGACCAGAAATAGCCTGCTGGGCAGGGAGCAGGGAAGGTGCCTTGGGGCTTGTGTCTCCAGAAGTGCAGTCTGCCCCAGGGTGCCACCTGGCAGGCCTTCCTCATTCTACCAAGAACTGGTGGCCACTGGGCACCCAGCCAGGCTGGTGCAAGCGCGTCCACTCTCAGTGTGTCATTACCGTCATTCTCTGTGAGCCTCCCTGCCTGGCCGTGTGGCGTGTAGGACGAGGAACAGCTCTGCTGGGGTCACGCACTGGGTCAGGGGTACCCCAGGGAAGAACCCCACCAGGTCATTCCGGCCAGTGGGGGGCTCCCTCCTCTGACCCTTGGCCTCGGGCTCAGATGTGCTCTGCAGGACGGTGGCAGTGCACGTGCCAGCCACATGTCGTCTGTGTGCCTGCTGCCTGCCCTGCATGCTCCCAGTCCCCAGGGTGCCCAGCTCCTTGGTCTTTGCTGGTGGAATGAAGCCACCACTGGGGCGCAGATGCCCCTGCGGGCTGTGCCCATTCCAGTGGGTGATGTCATGCCCAGGAGGAGGGGAGGCCCCTCAGAAGCTCTTGCCTCCTGGTCCTGGCACCCACTCCTGGCCCACGGCTCCCAGCCAGAGGGAGGAGGAGGTATTGCATCAGCCCAGGGGGAGGTGGAGGCCCAGCCTGGCCCAGCCACAGGTATGGAGGAGCTGTGTGGTCCACACCCACGACCTGGGAGCCTGCTCCTGCCTGGGCCCTCGCGTGCTGTGCTGACCGCCACCTCGACCCCACTTTACGAGCATCACAGTGGCGTCTCCAGGGGGGCCAGCCCCTGACTAGCGCTTGGAGGAATGTGGGCGTGCTGGTCAGGGGCTGTAGGTGCACAGCACCAGCTCGAGCTGCAGCGTGGGGGGAGATGGCCTCCAGCACCCGGCGCTGAGACCAGGGCTCAAGCCAGAGGGTTGGCCGTGGGGCCAGGTTGGGTGGGGCCGGGACACTGTGGCATCAGTGCCCTGGGCTCTCTCCTGCCCCAGCCATGCCTGACCGTCTCCTTGCTCCTCCTATGCAGGGGGCTTTGCCACCTTCTCCTCCTGCTTCCCCGGCCTCTGTGAGGGCAAGCCTGCTGCCCTACTGCCTGTGAGCCTCTCCCAGCCCTGCCTGCCAGTGCCCAGCGTGGGCCTGACCCGCATCCTGCCTCACCTCTACCTGGGCTCTCAGAAGGACGTCCTGAACAAGGTGTGTGCACAGGCCGAGGGGGAAGGCGGCAGGGGGAGGAGGGCGCTGAAGGCCGATGGGAGGATGGATGAGCACGGGTTGGGGTTACTGGAGGACCCAAGGGGTAGCCGCAAGACTAGAGCCGGGCTCGGGGAAGGGCCCTGCAGGGCAGGGCGAGGAAGTAGTGCCCTGCCCCCTCAGCGGCAGAGCCCACATGCCAAACCACTGATGTCACTGGGCCCCTGGCCAGCGCTGAAAGAATCCCGTGTTTTTAAAATGGTGACGAGGGAAGAGGGTAAAGCCACCGCCCAGGCTGCCCTAAAATTCCTGGGAGCCAGGCAGGCTGTGGGCGGGGCTGGCCGAGGCCTGCGGGCTCCAGGATGGAAGTGGGCGGGGCTGCGGGGCCCAGCCCCGCGGCGACTTCTGAGGCTCTGGGATCTGGGCGCCCAAGGTCCTGCCGGCTGCGCCCCCTTCCAACCTGCCCCTCCTTCCCCCCTGTCCCTCCAGGATCTAATGACCCAAAACGGAATAAGCTACGTCCTCAATGCCAGCAACTCCTGCCCCAAGCCGGACTTCATCTGCGAGAGCCGCTTCATGCGCATCCCCATCAACGACAACTACTGTGAAAAGCTGCTGCCCTGGCTGGACAAGTCCATCGAGTTCATCGGTGAGGGAGGCGCCTGCGCCCGCTCCTGGGGCTGGTGGGCGGGAGAGAGGGGAGGGAGGAGGTGCCGCTCCCGCTCCCGGAGAGGTAGCTGCTATTATTAGTGGCAGGGAGGGTGAGTTTCCTTACCTGGGGGAGGGAAGGACTGGCCACTCCTGCACTCATCTGGTCCCCCCCCCCCAGATAAAGCCAAGCTGTCCAGCTGCCAAGTCATCGTCCACTGTCTCGCTGGCATCTCCCGCTCTGCCACCATCGCCATCGCTTACATCATGAAGACCATGGGCATGTCCTCAGACGACGCCTACAGGTAGCCAGGCTTCCCTTCTGTGACTGGGAACTGCCTGCCCCTCCTCTCCTCCCTCCACCCACTAGCATCAGAGGGGCCCAGGGCTCAGGGCCTGCTGGCTGGGGAGGGAAAGGGGGGAGGGAGGCCTGAATCAGCCCAGCATGTGTGGGTCTGACAGCGCTGTGTGCCCAGCAATGGGCAGTTGGGGCCGGGGAGGGGTGGATGCCCAGCCTGACCGTGGCCATCCGGCTGCCTCTTGCCCCAGATTTGTGAAGGACCGGCGCCCATCCATTTCGCCCAACTTCAACTTCCTGGGCCAGCTGCTGGAGTACGAGCGGAGCCTGAAGCTGCTGGCCGCCCTGCAGGGTGATGGGGCACCCCTCCCGGGGATGCCCGAGCACCTCCCAGGCCCTGCAGCCCCCCTGCCGCCACTGCCACCACCTACCTCAGAGAGTGCTGCCACGGGGAGTGCAGCAGCCAGCTCAGCCAGGGAGGGCAAGCGGGGCACAGGCAGGGAGCCCCCCTCGCCTGCTGCAGCCCCTGCTACCAGCGTGCTGCAACAGGGCCTGCATGGCCTGCACCTCTCCTCCGACCGCCTCCAGGACACCAACCGCCTCAAGCGCTCCTTCTCGCTAGACATCAAGTCGGCCTACATCCCCAGCCAGCGACCAGATGGCCCCGGGGCCCCTGACCCTGGCGAGGCCTCCAAGCTCTGCAAGCTGGACAGCCCATCCGGGGTACTAGGCCTGCCCTCGCCCAGCCCCGACAGCCCAGATGCAGCAACCGAGTTGCGCCCACGACCCCGCCGGCGGCTCCGACCTCCAGCGGGCTCCCCAGCACGCTCCCCTGCACATAGCCTTGGCCTGAATTTTGGGGACACTGCCCGGC